GTCCCTCGAGCAAACTCTGCCTGCGCAACAAGCCCGCGAGTTGAGATAGCTACTTGTGCAGCACCATGCAAGCAGGCAGGTTGGCTCGGCTGGTCAGTGCCGAACAAAACGGTTGAACGGAAAAGGCCTTACACCCGGGAGTAGTTTCTGTGGTGACTTGAAGTGACTTCACAACAGTGTTGCCAAGGAGGCATCGCGAGATCGAAAACCCCAATCCCACCAAAGGCTTTAGCTCTGAAGCTCGAACAATCCGGCCACGAAAGCTGTGGCTGGTGCTTGCCGGGATCCGTGAAAACTCACAATCGCCAGAGCTTGGTATGGATGCAGGCGGCACCGGGAAAGCTCTTTTTGCTAGACTCGATAAGAAATACTACAAGCTGGAGAAGTCTGTATTCTCGAACTTCGCGAGCTCTGAGATCCACTCAGACCACTTCGCATACTTCCAATCACCTGAAACCACGTGTGCCCACCACACAGAATCCAAGGAGCAGGTGTTACAGTAACATGATGTAGCATGCGGCTCATACCTGCAAGCTTACTTCCCCCCTCATGTTTGCAAGCCCAGGGCACCAAGTTTCGCAATGGTCGTGACACCGACCTACGGAGTGGCCGAAGAAGAAACAGTCAGACCCCAGGAGAAGGCATGGCTCGTATGTAGGAACCCAATGGATAGCAGGTATTGGGGCAAAGATATGAATCAAGGCACGGGTCAGCAATTGAAGCAACTTGACTGACACGAATACGTGTTACCTCTATCTGCATGCCTGCCTGTCTTTTGGTGGCAACTGAGCTGCCATTTGCTTCGGTTTTGTGGCTTTAAATCCATCTCACAACGCCGATGTTGCATACGATGCCGCACAGAGGGTTCTGTGCCATAAACGTTGCTTAACCTGGCACAAGCTTCAAACAACTAGAAGGATCGCATGGTACAGACAGAACTGCTTGTCGTAGCCTTGTTCTAAGATTCCTTGCTCTGCGACGCAATTAGTTCGACTTACTATGTCAGTGCATGCGAGGGGGGAGAGGGGGGGGAACAAAACTAAACAAAATGTACAGACAGAACTGCTTGTCGTAGCCTTGTTCGAAGATGCAAGGCAGTTTTTCGACTTACTATGTCAGTGCATGCGAGGGGGGAGAGGGGGGGGGGAACAAAACTAAACAAAATCAAACCCAGAAGGGGGGCTCCCAATTCATAATTCGCTGTTCTTTTTGATGTGTGGTTATTGGCAGCAAAGAATACCCATCCCCATAAAATCACAGGTCAATTGCTATCGAAATTGAGTTTGGTATGATTAGATATCAATATATAACGATAGACATACATACATACATACATACATACACACACACACACATACGGAAACCCCTCCCTGGTACCCAGGTTGTGCGCTGCACACGTAAGTAAGCCGCCCAGTATGGTTCGTGTCTCTTGGTCGTTGCATTTCTGGCAAAGTAAGGTCAGGGTACACTATGCCTCTAGCTCCGGGAATTTATCCAATGGGAATCACGGAAGATGTTGAGTTAAACAGCAATTTCCACAGGTCGATCATGCAAAATGTTGGGTTTACGGGCATTTCCAATTTCCAACAATTTCCATGACCCTCCAAACTCCGGCTCCCGAGGTTTCTCGAGATTCATGGACATTGTTTGTTTTACCAACATTTTCAACTGGCCGAGTTTCAAAGTTCTTTCGTTGTCTTCGTCTGTTTGTCACATACAGAACCACACTTCTTTCTGCGATTGAATACCTTTTTATGGTAAAACTACGGCTGTACGAAGCATGCCTGTGCTGGCTTCATCACACACTTGTTGATAAATGCATACAGTGTTTTCGTATGTTGATTTATGTTTTTTTGCCTCCTACATAGCAAGGACGAGCCCGCATTGCTTTATGTTTGGATGGGGGGCTTTAGTTAGTCGTTGTGCTGTTTATAATATGGCTTTGACTCGTGCTTATAATGCAATATGAGTACTTCGCACCAAGACCCTGACATACATGATTGCCTTGATTTTGAGCAGGCGAAGTTCGTAGAGGAGACTTGAAATGACTGCAAACAGGCAACTCTCTCCCGGCGACGCATGGCATACATAGATACATATATGCACGTACATACATATACATAAACATATACAAACATATATACGTATGTATATATAAACAAATACATAAATAAATAATATATATATATATATATGTATATGTGTGTGTACGTGCACAGACGGACGAAGGCTGCGAGGGTTGTGCTGAACCTCCCTGGCCTTCGCGAGCTCTGCGTCCGCCCAAGCCGCAAGGCCCTGGAGCGCTGAGGGTGGCAGCTCCAAAATCTCTGCCAGGGATTTGGTCTCCTTATGGTCACAGAAGCAACGGAAGACAATCGGCAGTCCGTTCTCAGAGCGTGCAGGTGCAACCCAGGTGGCATGCTTCTTGTCCATGGCCTCATCTTGATATGTCTTGGGCAAAGGAACTACCGGAAGAGATTATTCGAGCCTTGTTGATGTTCAACGCGGCACCCTCCTCCCGATTATCTTTCTGCTCCAATGCAGAGAGACCGAGGATGGCTTTGGAGATCCGGTAAAACTTCCAACTTCCCAGATCGCCTTCGTGCGATCACATGTGTTCCAGGTTCCATGCTAGTTCTGTGCGCCAAGCCACCAATCGTATGAACTTTGAACTTCCTGGGGCCGGCACACAAGACTCGAAGACGCGGAGATGACCCAGCATCACGCTTCATGCTACCGGCTAGCAGGGTGGTGTAGACTTATTTTTGCAGCCTGGCAGCTTCAGAACTTCTCGACCTTTGGCAGCCACTCCCTGCAATGCCGAAGTCGGAGCGGCCACGATGTCCGTCAAGCTGCTACCCTCATACTCCTGGAAGGACCGCCCAACTCAAAGACTGAACTCCCGTCGATGGAAAGACGAGGCAACAGGGCCTTGTCCACGGCACTGTTAATGTTAAGGTTGTAGTTCGGCATTTGCTTGGCCTGGGGGTGGCACTCTTCGCTTGCCACAGGAGCAACGCACTGTGCCTGTGAACTGCATTGCGGCCGCGTTGCCTTCTTTTTGGGAGGCTCTTCAACGGCATCTGACTCTGCGGCTGCTTCGATCGCTTGTCGAACATCCTTCAGGATGCACAGCCGAGCTGCAGCATGCAAAACACCGAAAGTACCCGTCGAACTGCACCTTGCTTTTGGCTACTTCTGCAGGGGTTTGACCGGATCGAGTTTGTGAATGAGGGTCCGCACCTGGCATGTAAGAAAGCAATGCTCATGCGCGTTGTCGTCGCCACACCTGAACAATCTGAGCTTGGAACCCTTCTCCAGCAAAAATGATGCCATTTCAGCATTTCCCTCATAGGCTGCCTGGAAGGCAGACAGGCAATGGAAAGGCCACGTCCTACGCTGGAAACACCCAAGACTCGACCTCAACAAAATCAAACGGAGCGTAGCCGACTGCGCACGCGCACTCGCGTGCGCGCGCCCCCCCTTACGCCTGATGCAATGCGGACCATCGCTTGGAAGGCTGCACATTGATCAACTCCGGGGTCTCCTGGGCAGAACCCAGCTTCCAAAGACTTCCACACTGGAGTGTCGGAACTGTATCATTGCATAAGTACTCCGTTTCTTCCTCCAGCATGGATTTCACGGCTGGCCAATTGAAACTCTTGGCATTGTCCTTAGCATTAGCATGTCGCCCGTCAAGCAAACTCTACTAACATTGAGGACGATCCCGCAAAATAACATCTGCACGCTGCACGCATGGGACTCTGATAAAGCAACACGCAGCATCGACAACACAGGCGACACGTTGCGACATAACACGAAAGTGAAGCTGTGGTGCTAGAAAGTCGTGTTCCAGCTCCGTCCTTGCATCCCCCATCTTGCAATGGAGTCCCGCTTCAGCTTCAAAGCCACAAATGCTACGCACATCATACGTCAAGAAGTCTACGAGCACAGCCCGCTTTTATCCGAGATGAGGGGCTTGGACTGGTGACGTTGAAGCATGACTCCTGATTTTTCCGTTGGCAGCTGTGACACGACCAGATCAATGGCGACCACATGCGACGAGGCAAGATGTGCGTCGGCATGCTTCGACAAGGTTTAAAACCTGAGACGGCGAGCGAACGTAATCATGTTGTAACCGACGGTGTTGGCAATCGTGCCTGGCCTTCGACATGCACAACACACAACAAAAAACCGGCGAGTTTAGGAACAACTACTCAACTGACTTGGCAGCTGCGCAGCCCAAACGTAGGGGCGCAGCAACAACAGGCGCGGTATGACCTCGCGGTTGTACGCGAAGACCAAGATGCATTGACATGCTGTCATGTGAGTGTGCGAGGATGCCATTGCCCGAGGTGCCGCAGTACCGTGTGGCAGATGTGGAAAACACGCCCCGTGTTCGGCATTCGGTCGTTTCTTGATCTCGCATGTGTAATTTGTAACTTTGTAAGCCTGCGCACAAGTTGTAGTCTCCAGCCTCCAGCTTCCAAACGGTACCGCCGAACGGACCCCCAGTTCCGAACACTACTCTCACTAGTACAGGAAAACCTGAACCAGTCTGACTTGCAGTCTGGAGAACATTATGGACCGCTTCCTCCGATCGGCTGTTGAGACGCGAAGCATTTCTGTCCAGGCGCTGCGCCTACGTCCTATCTGCTAGGTGAGACGGGATGGCTGGCATTGTGCTGTCAGAGTGAAACGAAATGCAGAAGATTGATTCTGAAGCGAAGACTTCCCACTCGCTCCATCTATGGTCGAAACAAGCCCCAGAAGGCTTCGACATGCCGATGAAGCCCGTTAACTTGACAAATCTAGTGGGCGTTTGCCCAGGAAAGGATCTTGAGTAAGTCTCTGCTCGATGCCGTGTAGCAAAGGTCCATCGTGAGAGAGCTTCCACGCAGCCGTCTGATAGTAAGACTGAAGATCAGCTTCGAGAGTTTGCCTTTCATGCTTCTTCGGGCTCTTCTTCAAATTGGCCCACATCCGTAGCCAAGAATCTTGGGTCCCGTTTGAAGCATTATGTATTGGCCGCTTTGTGGGCTTTACCTGTGGCTTGGCTGTGGGCTTGCCTGTACGTTGGTAAGAGTACTGCTTCAAGACATCTTCGTACAGCAAGGTTTTGAGGCGAGGTGGCCCGCGCAGCTTCGTTGGAAGCTCTGACTCGTCGTTACCCTTGGACGTGGGAGACGAGGAAGTGTTGAGATCTAGCTGTTCAAGCATCGCATCAAAGATCCGAGTGCTGGCCTTTTCGTCCTGGACGGTCTCTTGATTTTCCTCTTCACTGTACTTCATGCCCATTCGCGCTTGCAACTTCAAGTCGGTCACGAGCTTGTGCATCGGGGCGAGATCGGTCTTCACGTCGTTCCGTGCTCGCATGTCTAGGTCCTCCGCAGAAAGCCTGGTGGCAGTACCTGCACCGCAGGACTGCAAAGCTGCCAAAAGCCTCCCAATGGTGGCCTCACCATTGTTGCAAACATCCAAGATGTCAAAGAGAGCCTGAGCCGGAACACCTGCTAACTCTGCTGAGTCCTTGCCATCGCACAGTCCAACTTCAATCAAGTACGAGGAGAAGGCATTGTTGTCCATAACTTTCGTGAAATCCACACCAGGAAACGCATCTGTGATGTGCTCGTGTTGCTGGCGACAGGTGACCCGTAGATCTTCGAGCACTGCTGAAGGTGAGAAATGCCTCACACCCCTCACGAACTCACGCACCGAGAGGTGGCCGTCATGATCAATGTCGATCAAGTTGAAGAGAACTTTCGTCTCCTTCTCGCTCATACTAAGAGGCAGGAGCAACTCTTGGAAGTTCTGTAAGTTAAGCCTCGGTGCAGACTCGCATTCGTTCAAGGCGCTGTCATGGAACGCATTGGCGAACTGGGCCTTGAAGCTGCGAAAGCGCTGTCGGACCTTCTTCCGGAGATCCTCCAAGAAGAGGGAAGGCTCTGAAAGCCCGATGGCACAAACGAACTCATTGCGGGAAATCTCACGAGAACCATCCACATCAATCTCGCGAAACATCTTTCGAGCTTCAATTTCCGTGAGGCTGAGGCGATCCATGGCCTTCACCACAAACTCATGCTGATCGATGCATCCGCTCCGGTCCATGTCCAAGTCGGTAAATGCTTTCTTGAAGTCCCCGTTGTATTTCTTGTGCAAGCGATCACGTAAATCTTCTAGAAGTAAACAAGGTGAGACAACGGCCACGGCACTGGCCAAGTCGCCAATGGTGACCCGAGCCTTACTCAGGCTCTTTTCTTTCTGATACTCCTTCTGATAGCATAAGGACTTGAAGAGGGCCAGGTGCTCCTCAGGGTCCATCACGTTTACTCGCAGCAATCGCTCACCGAACTCCTGCAGTGATAGCCGCAAAGAGAGCGCGTGAGTAGAGCCTTCGGTCATGGTCATGATGGCTTGATGCATGGAGCCGAACTGACTAGCAAGCCATCGTCTGCGCAAATCCTCAACGCTTCGGACTGGAGCAGACGCCTCCACGATCACATAGAAGCCGACCATGGTCACACGTCCAATCGACTTGAAATCCAGACGATCAAAGATCGTGTCCCGGGCATCTTTTGTTTGCCACTCAAAGCCATACCGAGCCAAAGTTCGTGACAACTCAAGCTTCGTGATCTGCCTGGCCGTGAAGACAGGGGCCACGCTGCTACACCTACAGCATCCTACAGCCTACAAGCACAGGAGCCTAAACCAGGGAAAAGACGTCCCAGGGCCCCTTTCGCAAGCCTGTCTGGCAAATCCTTCATGAAGTTCTCGAAAGCTTCTTTCACCGTGCTGAATTTCTCCAGTATTGCCCGGCGAAACTCCTCCATCGCCCCTCGAGCCCCAATCGGAGTAACAACCGTCGTGTTCAAGAGGGGTGAAAGTGGGCTCCGGATGGATGCAGGCTGTGACGGCTTGGTCTTGAAGTTGGGTGCGCTAGCCGACTCTTTCATGGGCTTCGGAGGTGGGGCGAGTGAAGCTCGTCTTCCAAGCTGGAAGGCCATGGACTGGCGCCGACCATGCCTGCTAGCTCTGCCCACGTCTTCCTTCTTGTTTGGATTTCTGGGAAAGATGCGGTTCAACACCTTGGGAGCGACCAAGAACAGGCTTAGACTCTCGCACTGGGTATTCTTAAGTATCAGTCTGAGGTGTTGATCCAAGAGTCATCCCCGACAAAGGCTTCGGTCGCCAGTGGCTGCACTTCCTCGGCCTTTTTCTTCTCAAGGAGAAGGCGCTGTGCCTTCTCTCGCGCCCGGGCTTTTTCAGCCTCTGTTGCACCACCCAAGCTTTCTTTGAATCGGGCATGCTGGTAGAACTGGCCCTTGAGCACTGGCAGAGCATGCCAGTTTTCATCTGACAGGCTCTGGCGAAGTTCGCCGAACGTTTGCCAATAGACTTGGGACTTCTGCTCGAACTCAGTGGATGGTAGTGGTCGCGTCTTGAAGCATTGCAACTCATCGGGCGAAAATCGCTGACTTGCTGGCTTCTCACGTCGTGGACCCTGTTCACTCTGAGGCCTTGAGAGCTGTGAGAACTGTGGCTGACTAGTAGGCCGTGAACTGACTGCCCCATCGCCGGCACCTGAAACTCTCTCCACAAGTCAAGACTCAGAGTGTCTCTAATCACATGCTCTGCTCTGCCCTGCAAGCAATCGAGGCGGCGACACCAACCACCAACAGCAACTGCGGTTTCGCTTCGACTTTTTGCAAGAACTATCTCGCCTGCACTGCAGGGTTGAGAAATCCCTTTCCAGTCATCGTCCTCACTTTCCCAGGCTCTCAAGGCATCGGCTACTTCGGGATCGACCGGTGCCATTCTTTGACAGCTCTTGAGAAGAACAACCGCGGTCATGATGCTTGTCAGGGCGTGAAGCTTTTGCGTCCCTAGGTCCGCATTCTCGCGAATGAAAGTATGTGGAAGAAACTCGGCCGATGGACTTATCTAGCACGCTATGTTCCCACGCTGCGATGCAACAAAAAACAAATAAGCAAAGCCGTGCGTTTATGTATACAAGCATAATTCAACACGAATAATTCTGAAGTCATGTGGACGCTAGTGCTTTTGCTGAGGTGATGATCTCTTTTGCACCGGTGATGGCCCTGGGCGCAAAGCCTTGTCCGCAGCAGTGTGTTCTTAATGCTGCAGCGTGTGAGCAGAACTACTAGTACGTAGATTTTGAAACCGCTGGTGTCTCACGTGCATCGAAGCTATAGGGAGTTGAAGAATCATCCAAGAACCCACTGACAAGCTAGGTTGCTCAAAGCCATGCCCAGCTTCAGGACTCCACACTTTCGATGCACGGGTTTTCGTAGTTAGCCAACCCTCACCTGCATCTTGGATTCAGGGAGTTGGGAGGCTACCATATGAACAAATGCAGAAGTTAAAGCAGTGCATACATGTGCCGCGGCAGGCAGCACGGACGAACTACAATCTGTTGCCTGTAGCAACACCACGTGCCTTGCCTGGGTGAGACTCGGCCTTCCGGGTGAAACCCGAGGAGTTCTGTCGTCCGCAAAATTCAGTCATGGCCAGCCCCAACGCTGACTCTGAGGGGCGGATGCCGTTGCTGCGACAGAGCTCGAAAGGACCCGACGTGCACAGGGGGCTTCTGGAGCCACGGAGCCTCCATGGGATTCCATTCACGGAACTCCACGGAGACCTCCAACGCGGGCCTCATGGACTCCACATCTCAATCAGTTCTTGGACGTTCTCTTCAGGCCGAGTGGCATCCAGACGGTCCATGGCCACGGGGCTGGCAGTGGGGCTGCTGCCTGCATTCCACAGCGAATTCTGCAAAAGTGGCCGCGAGCTGAAAGTGCCTTGGTTCAAGCCGCCAGCCAACGGTTCCAGGCGGATGCCCGCCTACGAACTGGGTTGCAGGGTTAGGATGCTGTGCACATCGCTGCGCACCGCTTCATGTCTTCATGTGCCGCGAGATCATGCGATCCAGGTTTGTGCGGCAAGGCTCTGTGATGAAGACGGCTGAATGACCCGGGAATTTTTGCTCTTCAAGGGCTTCATACGCATCAAGGCACAACATGCCGGCCTTCACCTTCACATGGCCCTTGCCGGTCATCCCCTGGAGCAGTGGGGCAATCCACACCGGCCCAAGAACAGCAAACTCTGAAGAAATCGTGGCCTCGTTATGCTCACCGAACCCTGGCAGGCGCGGTGAAACCGTGCGGGTGCAGGCAATGGGTCAAGCAAAGAATGACGTCTCGTTGAGCCTGCGTTGTCGTCCGAGCTGGACCTGTGTAAGAAGGGCTTCGACATGCGAGCACCAGCCAGGAGCTGAGATGAGACTAAGAGGAGACCGAGGCTTTGGCGCAGGGACCGTTGCGCTGCTTGAGGTTGCAGCTGCTGGGGGCCTTATAAAGAGCCGACAAAAAGGTGGGGAGGAAGAGAACGGTGATTATTATCATTATTCTTCATTCATATTGTTATTACTATTATTAATAACATTAGTATTATCATTATTGTTGAAGATCACATAATCTGACCATTTATAACCCTTCGGCCCTTCGGGTCGCGTCCTTTCAACGACCGGGCCAGGCCTTGCCCCGGGAAGGTCGGACTGCGAGAGGACGGGCTTCTGCGCCAGGCGGGGTCGCAAGCGAGAATCCGCACTGCGCGCAACGGACATGTGAGCTATACATAGCTATGCTGTGGGGCCTCTTCCTTTATTTTCTTGCTCTTTTTGTCCTTCTTGTCCTTCTTTTTCTTTTTCTTCTTCTTTCTGTCGTCGCCTTGGACGCCCGGAGAATTTGAAGTCTTGTAACGGCTTGGCGACTGCTGAGTTTCCAGCTGTCAGAGTCGCTGCCATTTTGTGCAGAGTGCTCTGAAATCCTTGCAACTCGCATTCAATGATTCCGTCTGCAGTGACCCTGAACGAAACCTTCACCATGCCTGGGCGAAGTCTTCTCCTCAGGTCCGTCCCTGGAGAGATCAATGACCTGGAGAGAAAAACACAGAGGCGTTCAGTTACGCGCAGGGCGGATGCTTGGCTTGCATGTCAAGCACACCTCGTCGCTCGCGGCCTCGGAATCACAAATGAAGCAATGCTCCGAACAGCTCCTGCTCCTTAGGGCATCTAAGTCAACCCCATCTGAGAGGCAGTCGCTGGATGGCTTTTTGTCCGTCCTCTGGGCAATAGTGATAAAGCTTCTGTCGCCGAGCAGTAAGACCATGAGGGCATGGCTTCGACTTCATCTGGGTGTCGGCATAGTCGGAACCTGCAGCTTCAAGCTTGAGTGCCCTCGGCCCCTGTCAGCACCCAACTCTCCTCTGGTCTCTTGTTCTCACACGCTGGCTTTCTGCGTGTGCGACGCTTCCACATCGAAAGTTGTTGCGAGCTTGTTGAGCATCCGGCCAAACATGGAACCATACCGAGAGCTGGCGGAATCCTGCGTGCATCAGACCATATACCGATCGTCCAGCTCGGGGCTTACTTTGCCGCGGCCCACATTCGACCCGACCCTAACACAGACCCCTAAGGGGGTCCCTAGAAGAAGCTCAAGGTGAAGTGAGTGAAGTGAAAGACTCGCTCCTTGCTGGGATCCACGAACCCCGGCGTTCCTGCTGTACTCGACCTTCGATCGGCCACGCCACGAATTCTACTGCCCCGAGACTTGTTCGAGAAGAGCTGCAGCTGATTCATATATGTCTTAAGGTTAGAACTTAGAACTTGCAAAGCTTTGGCCTGAAGGGCTATGGAACATCGGCCTCCCTGCTGGTAACTTGCGGATGCACTTCTGCAACGCTGCACTCATTGGGAAATCGCGCTTTACTTGGAGATGGGGCGGCTAGTGCGTCAAAACCGATGTCCCCGTCTTATCGAATGCTGTATTATCCCCGTTGTGATCTCGGTCGGTCGAGGGCTTGATCAGTAAGTTTGCTCCCTCCCACATTTATCCTTTATCATCTCTCTTCCTTCCTGTCCTCACAAAGGGCGATTCGTGGCGTCTTAGTACGATGACGCAGATCTCAGATGTGCCTGACAGTATATTGTTCAGGGCGTGTTTTAGCTAAGCATGCACGCATAAGCCAATGAGTATTTTGCTTGATTCAGCATCATGAATCCGGCTCGGTCCATTGCCCTGCCACTTGCTGCGACATCTGGAGTCTTGCTGGAACTGGTAGAAGGCTTGCCAAGCCAGTGGTCACAAAGCCAGCAACCAACGAAAGGAAAGGCTAAAAGAAGCCAAGGTTCAGTATTCTGAATGCCTTCATCTTCAGATACAGGACCTGGCTTTCTGCAGCTCTTGCAAAACTCTCGTCGCCAGCCCTCGATGCAACACGCCTGGCACTTGGCCGGCCGTGGATCTGTCCAGGTACTTTGTCTCTCCTGCCAACACAAGACAAAGCTCCAGTCTGAAAACAAAAGCTCGTCGGGATAGTCGTTCGCAGCTTCGAGTGCTCTCTCTATCTGTGAGGTCATGGTGAGTCATGGTTGCCAACCCCGAACACACCACAAGTGTTGCCTTGACGCCAATTCAACCTCGTGCCTCCTTGTTGAAATAGAACCTGTTGCCTTGCTCGTCTTGATGTTCAGACCTGCAGCAAACATGATGGATCCCGCTGCCCAAAGAACTGGCCCTCCGAGGTGGAAGCCACTTTGCTACCTCCTTCTGAGTCTCCTGGAAGACTGCGAAAAGCAGTTGCAACGTCTCAAGTCTCAAGGAGTCGCTATGCCATCGTGCGCTGCAGACGTCTGCAGCCTGGTCCATCTGTCGGACCTCTGCCTGTAGCTTTGACAGGGCTTCCGTTCGTTCCTGCACAGACGAAGACGTGTTTGCGTGCTCACGACTGCCGTCGCTTGGCCGCGGGATCCTGCGCCGACATGTTTGAGTTGCGCAGGTTCACGATGGTCTTGTATGTTTCTCGGTAGACGTGCTCGAGCGGATGCGTCCTGATGGTCAGTACGCAATTGGCTGGCCTACTTTGCCAAAATGCGCTCAGGAGCAGGCCACGAGCTAACTCTTGTCGACGCATTGTAATAAAACACTCTGTCCTGGGTGTGGGCAGGGCGTCCCTCAGGGCATCTTGGAGTCCGCATCTGACTTCGAGATGCAGACACTGCTGTCGAAATGCTCCGTCCAGTCGGAAGGAAGCGGTGCTTCCAGGGCCTTCTCTTGTCATCAGCGACTCACCGACTTAGACTTCAACTTCAACTTGGCATCCTCGAACCTGCCTCTACAGCTATCCACAAGAGATCGTGGTCCGCGACAGGGTCGATCCCCAAGTAGCGGGCGTACCTGAGGAGCGCTGGGGCAAAGTCTGCACCAACGCATACCTATGCATCCCATCTGCAGCCGTTTGTGAAGTCCTCTTGGGCCCCAGCGCTATGAGCTCCGGCCCAGAGGGCTTCAAACCCTGCCAGAACATTCGTTGTCTCAGCAAACTCTCCACGCGATGCCTTTCCCGCTCAGGTTGACAGATCGGATAGGACAGGCACCACTCTACTGTACTTGCCCTTCGCACAACAGGACATTGGCTGACTTCTGCGAATCAAAATCACACGTAGATCCAGGAAATCTGCCAAAGCCAGTCCGACCCTGTGCTGCCATATGCTGTCTTTTTGGCGAACACCACCCACCACAAGCAGCACCACGAGCAACAGGCTCTTGCTACTGTAGCTTGTGCCATGCGCAACAACGAGACGTCGATACGCAGGGCCGAAGACTCAGCTTTGCTGCGCTTTGCCTGACGCTGCTGATTCTTCGTCTTGCTGATGAAGTCGTTCACGGAAAGCCCAGCCTGGCGGCTCGTGAACACAAAGGTGTCTACGTAAGCACAGGGAATGTGCCTGTGTGTGTAGGAAGAACCACAGATCACAAACGACACTAGATACCTATGCATCCATACACATTGAGGCAGATGCACGTACGCGCGGGCCCTCAAGCTGGTTCAAAGGCAGCCTCATGCTCGCCACTATTTACACAGACTACATATACACATCTAATGAATTCTCTGTTCATCTCTGTTCTATATACATCTGCGCTCACGCGAATATTAGGTTTATTCACTTGTGATGTGACGCTTGTCTCGAACCGCAGACTTCTGTACACAGCAGCGCTGACTTGACAACCTATCCATGGTTGCCGGGAACCTCGGCATGGGCACTGGCACTGCAAACGAACCCCTGCCTGGACCCGCGTTGCCGCCTCGGAAGCCGGGTGCACAGCTTCATTCTCATGGCTGCAACTCTCCCTCTTCCTCTCTCGGGCCACGCCGGGAAAAAGGGAGGTGAGTCGAGAAGCCCTCTCTCTTGTTTGCTTGCTCTCTCCAAGGCATTGGGAGCGTTTGAAGCCCCCGGGGCCGAATGTTGTCGGATCTCTGGGGGGGCGGGATACGACATTATGCAGTCGAAGGGAAGCTTCTCTCGCTGCACACGATGAATGGCTTCCTTACCGGAGTGGAGCTTAAGAGGCTCAGAGTCAAGCCAACTTCTCATCACGTTTCAAGGAACTGTTCAGCGAAGTATGCTTGAAACTGCAGCACATGGACGGTCACGGCTGTTTGCAGCAGCCGTGCTGACCTGAACAAGGGTGTCGCCAAAATTTGGCAAAGCGCTGGCAGACAAATAAGAAGGCGATGGTGCAAGCATGTGCCGGTTTGAGCTGTCAGGCAATGTGCCCTACCTGTTCGCCTGCTGCTAATGCTTCTGTGCAAGTCCAAGAACCAAATACAAGGCCATCAGAAACATGTTGAAGAAACACAGATGATATGGGCGCTGGACCCCAGAGCGACTTTCCGCCACTGGCTTCGCTGCACCCATGCCTGAGTGTTACGAGCTCTTGCAAATCAGAGCTCCGCCTCTAAATAAACACGTTACCAGGTGTGTGCGCGTGTAATACGTATGTATACACAAATACATGAATAAATAAATACATGTATGTATATATATGTACAATATATATCTTTACATATCTCACTCCCCAACTCTCGACCAGCTTGTACTCCCTTTAGGGATGGAAGTTACGGATCCCCTCCGAAGTTAAAGTCTGACCAACCCATTCCGTCAGCCTCACCAAGGCAGCCGAGCGCAGCTTTTGTTGTTGTTGTTGTTGCAGTCATCTTGCGTGTGCGTTGGTTGTGGCTTTCGTGGGCGCGGGCGTGCGAGTGTGTGTGTGTGTGTGCGTGCAATGCCCGAATTTCCTCATCAGTGAAGCATGTCGCAGAGCCCCAGTTCCAATGCAAATGCTACACTGGAGAAGGGAACGACCGAGATCTCGTACATGGTGTGGAAGCTCAGCACGGGTCGTGTCGCGGCGCTTTGGGATCGCGCTATTGCACTGAGCGACATGATGTCATTCAGATGGTCGGCCGAGTTCAGCCAGGGCATCCAACTACCCAGCAGCCTGCAGAGTTTGATGTTTGGCTATGCCTTCAACCAGAGCCTGGAGCGTTGCAGAGTTTGATGTATGGATATTCAGGTAATCCAACTACCCAGCTACCGGCAAAGCTTGATGCATGGATATGCGTTCATACAGAGCCTGGACGGAATCCAGTGCTACGGAGAGAGGTTATGCACAAACGACTTTGTGGTCTGATGACCCTGGCTCCAGAGTCTGAAAGCGACGATTCATCGTGACGGTTTTTCAGCATGATGGATATACCATCGTTTTGTCCCTCTATTTTCGATTGCGCATACGACGTCACTGCTCATCCGGAAATGTCTGAGCGGGCACAGATACTTCGCAGCATGGGGCATGTTAGCTTAGTTCTTGCCTCTCCCCAAAAATGCTCAAAGCTTGACTGCAGGAAAATCTGTTCGTTAGCTCGCCCTGTTGTCTTACGCGGGCACCTTGCTGGCTTCGTGGTCGTTCAT